CCCATTAAGGACTGCTTGTTGAGTACAGTTTGTCAGCCAGCTACAAATCCATCTGGAGGAGATTCTATCTATCCTGCTTTTTTCTAGCTTCCCAAGAAGTAGATTGTGGTTTACTTTGTCAAATACCTTGCTGAAGTCTAAGTATATTATGCACACAGTATTTTGCTGGTCTACTAATTTATTCACTACGTTGATAGTACTTGGCAGGATGACTGCCAGAGTTGGAGAAGTCTCAGTTGTGGAATATTCTCCCTCCAGCAAGTATATTCTTAAAATCAGATATTGTCTGGCTTGAAATCATCCAACTTTTGTTCATTGTGACTGTGTAAATTGTCTGCTTCTTTCTTTCCCTAACCCATTAATAGTCTCAATAGCCTAGATTAGGCTCTATCATTTATTTTCTAATTCCAGCCCTCAACCTTAATCCGGTCCCTTTAAATGAATGATTATTGTAGTCTGTAGAACACATGACTCATCGTATTTTGCTATATAGAAAACACATTGTTGTTGATTCTACATGATCATTGGCACATATTCTTAAAAATAAAAATTTGTGGAGAAATATTGTGATTGAAAAACCAGACGTTTTGATGCTGGAGAATCAGTAGTGGAAATTTTGAGTAGTTCGGAGAACCGGCAAATACCACCTCTGACTGGAGATTTTACAGTATCCTTCTCCTGCCATGCTCATCAAGCCATGCCCACAGAACCGGTAGTAAAGAAATATGAATCCCACCACTGCTCTAGTTCAAACCCCATCCACCTGTAAAACTCACAAGATGGCTTTGGAATTAGTTTTAAGTCCCATCTTGATATTAAAAAAAAAAAACCTTCTAAATGACTCTGTATACTCCTTAGTGGGAGCAAAGAGTTAAAATAAATTAAAGAAATATATGCTAATACAATATATTTGAGGTTTGAATTAGCACTTAAATAACTAATTTCCCTGCTGAAGTGATATACTAATTTCTAATTTAGAAAAATAACTTGGCCTAAATTATATAGAAAGAGCAAAATTAGGGCCAAATATATGGGTTATAAAAGAATTTCTAGCTATAGTGTTGGTTTTTTCTCTCTTCAGTGCAATTATGAAGAACTTGGCAATCAAATACTTATTACAGTTGTAAGCCACCATAAGGAAGGTGGGTACAAACACACACACACACACACACACACACACACTGTCTCTCCCAGTGGAGAATTTTTCTGTATCAGTCTTCAAGGGCAGGGCATATACCAGAGTAAAGGTGGTTAGGTACTTTCAAGATTAATTAGGTATGTGATGGTGAGACTGGTAACTGTTGGATTCCCTGGAATAAATGTGGGGATTCTATTTTTTCCCCCACTGAGGCTAAGATCCAGATATTTTTGGAATGTTCCAGAGGTTTTCAATAGATTTGCTGAAAACTATTGGTACTTCCTCAGGGGTGGGATTCTACCAGTTCGCACCTATTCTCTAGAACCGGTTGTTAACATTCTAAGCAATTCAGAGAACTGGTTGTTAGAAGAAATTACTGGCCTAATCCTGGCCTGATCCTGTAAGGAAAGCAGGAAGGAAACATTCTGGTGTTACTTACAGAAACTGCCTCTCTGTTAACCCTTATTACATTCTTGGCAGGACTAGACTTCCTGTCTCAGGAACTTCTCTGGAGTTTTTTTCCCTCCTTTGCTGATATTTTGCTTGTGTTGAGTGACCATTCAAAGTTACAATGGCACTGAAAAAAGTGACTTATGACCATTTTTCACACTTACGATTGTTGCAGCATCCCCACAGTCATGAAAGGCCAGGCGAGGAGATGCGTACCTCGATGTGAGTGATAGTGAGTTGGCCATGCATAGGCAATAACATGACCACCAAGCCACGCTCACAGAACCAGTTGTTAAAAAAATTGGAATCCCACCCCTGTACTTCCTGCTGGAACTACTTTTAGTTTGTATACATTTTTGTATATGCGTGTGCTGTATATTACAGTTTTTAAAAAAATATGTTTTGAAGTGTTTAATTTCAAATTACTTTGGGGATTAAATTGGTAAACCTGAATGCAGGAGAAACACCTACTGTGGTATGGCCATGTCTTAAGAGCAGAACCATACACCATTGCCTACATCTCCTTCCACTTTAACAGAGATGGCAAATGTTCACATGGAAGATCGAAGTAAAGATTGCAAGACACAATAAATGCAGACATGCAAATTATCCAGTTGGACCTGGATGCTGTGTTTGATCATGCAAGATGGCATTCACCAATCCGAAAGGTGGATCCTGCATTTGCGGGAATAATGCTAGTAAGATGAGGAGAGGAGGAGGATTAGGTGAAATAGGTTATAGAAAGAAGGATAATATGCAGTGGTGGGATTATTATTTTTTTACTACTGGTTCTATGGGCATAACTTGGTGGGCATGGTGTGGCTGGGTGGGCGTGGCAGGCGAAAGATACTGTAAAATGTCCACTCCAATCTCACTCCAGGGGAAGTTACTGCAAAATCCCATTCCTTCTCCACCCCACTAACCTGCTTTCCAGCTACATTCTCCTGTGCAGGGCAACAAAAGAGCTGATTAGCTGGGACTTGGAAGGCAGAGAATAGATGGGGATGAACCAGTCAGAGGTGGTATTTGCTGGTTCTCTGAACTACTCAAAATTTCCATTACCGGTTCTCCAGAACTGGTCAGAACCTGCTGAATACCACCTCTGGTAATATGTTGTAACTAAAGAGGTTAAAATATATTTGAACTTATAATGGGTATGAAGAACACCAGAAGCTTTTTCCTTTATTTTCTATTTTAACTTTTCCTTAACCTTTCTCCTTTTCATGTACCTCTTCCTTTTTCTTTGATTCCTTTTTTTACTTTCTATTACTTTCTATTAGTGTGTGTTAACTTGCTTAAAGTTTTAATAAAATTACACAGACACACAGACACACACACACACAAATAAAAGAAATGGGAATATGGTCCCATTCATATGCATATCCCTTTTCAGCTGCACAATAGCTAGTTATTATACAGAGTCTGGCTGCAAATAAAACCCAGTTCTATGAAAGGATAAAGTTATAAAAAAAAATCAGCTGGGATCAACTGACAGATGCAAAACACTTTACTTATTTCTCAACAGTAAGATAATGAATTCCTTTAATGAGCTGGCAGCTCGCAGCTTCTATTCAGTCCAAGTCTAATCATGTTATTTACACAAAACGCCCTCAATGCATTGGCTCTGGAGTCTGCTTTGAAGATGGTTCCTGTATACCAGAAATGGAAGTACTAATACTATTAGTAATTATTCAAACAAGAACACCTACCTATTTCAGGTTCTTAGGAAGGACTCAAGAGGTGAATAAATATGCCAAATCCAATTAAATATCAGACTGATTATGCAACCACCCATAATAATAATACCTATTAAATTAAAACCACTAGAAATCTCATAAAGTTACCAAGTTGTATAAGACTTTAGTAATATTTCATGTAGGATTTCATGTAAGAATGAAATTTCATGAGATTCGAGAAGGTTTTTTAATTTTAAATGTTTAAAATGTGAATGTTTTTATCTATCTATCTATCTATCTATCTATCTATCTATCTATCTATCTATCTATCTATCTATCTATTTGATTTGTTAAATGTTTACAGTATAATAAGAAATAAGAATAAATCCCTAAACCCCAAAAACTTTAACCTTAAACTTTCTACTATTGATCTCACCCCTTTCCTAAGAGGTCTGTAGGGGGTGTGCATAAGTGCACCAACGTGCCTATCGTCCCTGTCCTATTGTTTCTTTTATTTATCTTATATATATATATATCCATTTATTCATAACTATGTTTTTACTTATATCTATTATCTTGTAAGCAATTGACAAACCAAATAAAATAAAATAAATAAAATAAAGAATAAATATAAGTATAAATGCATACAAATAATTGGGGACAATAGGACAGGGACAGTAGGCACGATTGTGCGCTTATGCATGCCCCTTAATATTGCAGTGCTGCAACTTTGCCATTTTTATTTGTTGATTTATTTATGCTTTATGATAGAAGGACAAGCTCACAAGTGCATGGGAATCCTACATCTAATTAAAGGCTTATTAAAATTAGGGAACCCTTATCCAGCTTGGTGCCTCCAAAAGTACTGGAGCACAGCTGTAGATTGTGGAAGTTTCCAGTGCCTCTGGAGAATATCAGATTGAGAATGCTGAACAAGGATACAGCATTTGGAAGACAGGGCAATGGCTTTTCTTCAATTAATTTACCATATCATCCTTTCATTGGTTTCTTTTTGTTATTTGTATTTTGTTCTGAGAACTTCCTTTGCTCTATATTCCAACATTTTTCTGAATTCATTCATTGGAACACTGACACTTTCTGCAGTGGTAGTCCAACTTGATGATTTGAATGCAGTCATTTTAATTACCTTAGAATATGACACATTAGTGGTTTTTGAATCTGGGTAGGAAAAATGTGGACATTAAAAAAATACAGCAAATGCCTCCTTGGGTAATTCTTGGAAAATGAACTGTTGAATTGAGAAAGTAAACTGTAATAACTGCTGAAATCTGCTCTATACTGGTAGTGCTGCTGGAGAAAAGTAAATTTCCTTTTAGGAACTAGACAAATATAAAACACTCTTATTCATTGTTTGTGGTAGTTATACAAAGTTTCTCATTGATTCCATAATGAATGGCATGGCAAACATTCTATACTGCCATTCTATGCCTTTTCTTGTCTGGCATCGGAGACCATCCGATAGGGGAAGGTTAATAATGCAGGCATCATATTTCTGCATCCAGACTAGCACTAATTTATTTTTTCTTGCCTCCTTGGAAACAGCACCTTGTTCTGAGAAATGATACATAATTCTTGCTAAATCTAAGATGAGTGTGACGCCAAAGACTGACCAGTCTAGCAAGAGACGAAAGGCCAATAAGGTGTGGTTATTGGAGGGGACGGCAGAGAACAGATCAGGTGGGCAGACCTGTTGGGTCACATTCTTCCAGGAAGCTGCCAGGAAGTGGCTGCCTTGTTAAAAATTTATTTTGCACGCTCATAGATTTTCACTGAAGCAAAACTGGAGTGTTACAGGCTGGAAACAACCTTCTACCTTGGAGTTGAGGCAGGGGCCCTGTTTCGGTATGAGAACTGCCTCTATTTTCTGTTGCTTTGTCATGCTTTCTCTAACACAGGGTAAGTAAGTTGGCCCTTGGTGTGTTTGTGTATTGGAATATTCTTTATTGTCCAAGAATGATTGGGCATCCAAAGAATTTGTCTGTGATGCATAAACTCTCAGTATGTGTGTATAAGATCCTGTTTCTCTGAATTAAACAAGGAGGTTGCTGATTTACAGTGGATATCTCAGAAAAGGCCTTCTCATGAGAAGGGACTTGGACTACAACAGTGTAAATCCAATACTTGAATTTTATTCTTAGGACTAAGAAGATGGAGTGAGAGCTAGTGATCAGACAATCACTTCCACATCAGACAGTATTTCTTTATGAATACTTTGCATTTGCACATATATTATTAGGATGATCACAAACCAGTTCAGGAAAGTGGTCTAGCAGTTGAAAGACAAAGAAGGGATATTGGTGGCCTTTCTTTTCTTTTTTCCAGGGGTAGGTCCATGAATATTTTAAGGAAGGTTGACTTAACAGAATATAACTTTTTTTTATCTTTTTGCATTTTTATTTGGCATGTGATTGAAATAAAAGTAGGCAATGGAGGTGTCTCATTGTTTGCAAAACCTGTTCCACCAAGGTATATAACCAAAGTTTCAGAGCAGCATGGGTTTCTTTGATGTGAAATAAGGTATATTTATGCATGCATGTTGAAAAAGGTAAGATTGAGGAGGAAAATTGATGATGGCAACATTCTTGGGTTCCAATTCGTAAACTCTTGATCTAGAATTTTTATCTCCATAAATAGCCTGGCACAGCATGCCTGGTAATGGTTGCCAGTTGTCCTTTCAATGGTTGGCTTGCCTTGCATACTGGAAATAAATGGTTTTAAAATGGGAACAGCCAACTCTTTTGTTTCTCTTTCACCCTGTCCATTTCATTGGAAAACTTATTTTGCGCTTGCAGGCAAGGACATATAAATTTATGAACATATGTATGTAATAATTGCCTTTTTTGTTATAAAACTCATTGCAATCTTCTAATCTAGAAAGGTGAGGCTACCTTCAATTACAATAGAGTTTCATATTGACCTTTCATTTCTCAATTAAGTCAAATGATCCAATGACTTTTATGAGATCCTCAGCTGTAATAGAATTGAATACCCTGGACTTTGACAATAAGAAATCAACGAGTATCTGTGATTAGTGCAGATTAGGGGTGCTTTCTTATTCTTTCACATCTGAAATGAGCATATCCACTTTTTGCAAAAAAAGCTTCATGTGGAGTTTATTGGATCCTGACCATTTACTCAGATTAATTGCTTTTTAAAATATACTGCATTCTTTTATATCTTCTTGCTTCTCTATTTTAGCTACCAAGAAAAAAGCAACAGCTCTCATCATTCTTGTAAAAGCTATCAGCCATGGTTGTTGTATAAAACTTAAAATAAATCAAGGATATTACAAATTGTAGGAAAAGTAATTAATTTGTGGATGTGAGAGTTCCCATGACTGAATGTGCTATTATGTCAAGTTAAATACATGATCCATGGAAAGGGAGTATGTTAGTGAAAATGATTGTGCCTTAGTTTTTTCTCTAATACTGTACCTTAGTTAACAATTTTTTGAAATATAAGACATAGAAGTGAACATTGTTATCCTCCAATTGCAAATTTTTCAGATATCATAATTTATTATGGAAACCATTTATTTATCCCTGAAAAAAAATGCCTTGGGTTGAGATTAAGTGTAGTTCATCCCTAATCTTGCAAAAACTAATGTCACATATATTAATGAGATTTACTTTTACACATCCCTGTATGGAATTATATTATTAATTGCATTAAAATCCATAGAATTGATGTTATGATGACTTGAATTAAGTTAATTCTAATTTTCATTTTTTCTTACATTTGGGTGTTTTTGCTTGAAAGCACCTTGTTTGCTATGTTTTCTTTTGTTGGTGGTTGTTGAATTGACAAAAAACCTTTCTGGACTTTGTGAATACAATTTTTGGGTCACGGGGAAGGGAATGCAGATTATAAATAAAAGTGAAAGCAGAATCAAGAAATTCAAATTCCACACCTGATCAAATTTACCAGACCTAAGTCCAGATCAAAATCATGTGTATTCATATCTGCATGTATATAAGCATATCTTGATTTTAATGCATATGTGAACAAGTGGGTACACATTTTTTTTAAATAAAAGTTTTATTTAAGTTTTCACAAAACATATAAATACAAATAAAATATCTTTTTTTGAGAACAGCATGACCCCGGGTTATCACTTCTTCATACAGACATAAACTCAATACATATTTATCTTATACATTCTAATCCATACCTTATAACTATTTTTTCAATAGCTTTTCTCTTTCTTTACTTCCTATAGCCTTATTTTAAATTATCTTATTCCTTTCTTAATTCAATTACATATCTTTTTCTAATTTTTAAAATCTAAAAATTATTTATAATCAATGTTTTTATACTTTCGTCTGTCCTGTTTACAATTTCATATTATCTTTTCTCATAAAACAAATTTCCCCTGTAATTACTAGATTGGAGTGTAACACCTTTGTATCTTTTTTCAAATCTTGTTTAAATATTTAAGTTACACCTTTACAGTTACAACATTCATTTTTTAACCTCTGTTTTATAACACATACCTATTTTTAATCGAATTCTGCTTGGTACATTCCCTTAAAAATACACACTAAATTCTTAAAAGAAAGAAGTACATATGTATATATATATCTCATGTATAACAATAGTAAATGGAATAATTATTCTATTCAAGTACAGCTCTGCCATTAATATTAATAACAATTTTTTGCATTTCTATTTCTTTTAACAAACATTACCTAGTAATATCAGTTGTCTTTCACTTTAATCATCTATATTTCATTTTTTTACTTATTACTGTCTTTAAATAAAAAACAGAACAATTGTTAACTGTATTCAGTAAAATTATTATTCTTATTAAATTTCATCTTGTCAACTGATAAAAATCTTCCATGTTTTTTTTCAGTTTTTTTAACTTTCTTTTTAAATCATTGAGAGCCTTAGTATCTTTACAAACAAATATTCTATTACATATCAATAGAATTTTTTTCTATCACTTTAATATCTAAACATATTTTCTAACCCTTTTCTATTTCTAATATAACAATGCTATCCCATGCACCCTTGCAGAATTCTCTCCTTAAGTTAAATTTTAACCATTGTCTCTGTGTCTTTTAAATAGGTTTATACCTTTAATTCTTGTATGCTTTTCCTGTACCTTTATATCTTGTTTCTGTCCTTTGTAGCTTCTTTTCTTTTCCCTCTTCCCTCTCTTCTTCTCCCTCCCCCTTTTATTCCCTTCTCTATCTGATTCTTCCTTCTGTGATCCTCCCTTCTGGTTCTTCCTGATATTATGATTGCTTTTCAAATTACTCCTTTTTTTGGTTGTTGCTTCAATGCTTAAATTTTTAACTCCCTTCCCCCCGTTTCCCCTTTTTTTACCATGCTTAAAGTTGCTTGGTCAATAAAGATGGCTTCTTCTTTATCCCGCCCTTCTTGTTCTGCCAGAGTTTCTTTTTGGTTTTCATAGTTCAAAATCTCCATTTCTAAAAATTGAAATATGAAGCCAAAAGATCCTCTTCCATCTTGTGCTTCTTCTTTTTGTTCTTTAAGTCTCATTTTAACTCTTCAAGGACTGATGCCATTTTAAAAAATTTTAAACAACCCCCAATTGATTTTATTTTGTTTCATTAGGATTCACCATCCAAAATTCCAAGAATCATCCAATAATCCAAAACTGTTTCTTGCTTCTTTTCTCACTTTCTCTTTCCAGGGGCTTTGTTATCTTGTAACAAAGTTTCAGTTACAGCTTTTGCAAGCTTTATTAAAATTCCACTATCAATTTTTTTAAGTTCCAGGTGGTCTCATCCATTTCCAGATTCTACCCTCTTGTTTCCTTTTTCCCTCCTCTGCTTTCTTTCTTTTTTAAAGAAATTTTTAAAATTATCCAAGAATCTTTATCCCTTTAACACTTTATTTTCAGCTAGAAATAGCCTACTAATGTCAAAGTGGATTACTATCAATTTTTTATTTGAATTTCTTCTTAATGTTCCAAGTCAATTAAAACTGTCAATATGAGAGGAAAAAAAGCCAATTCTGTTTCCTTTCCCTTTCTCTTTCGCCGCTTAGGATCTTTTTTAGGAATAGTATTAGTCTTTAAAATCGAGGTTCCAGTCAGTCAAACTGTCTCCTTTAAACTTCCTCCTGCACAATCTTGTCTGGTCGGGTTCTTCTTTGAGGTGGCCATTTCTGACCACGCTGCAACTGCCTTTGGGAAAGGGAGTAATGGCTAGATGAGGAGTGATGTGGCTCTCCTCAACCCCACTGATGGCTCCCCCTTCTTCACCACCTCTATGGGGTGGCTCCAGCCCTGAATCCGGATGGCTCAGGGTGCTCCAGTGGCGAGCACGGATCAAAACCGCACACGATTCCAGATTTCGGTCCGTTGCCAGAGAAGCTTGAACAGGAAGTTCACACATTTTTGAAGTAAGCAAGATGCTTCCCTGTACCCATTTTATATTATTATTCCATGTACCAGCAAGGCCGGTTCTGAAATGCTGACTTAGTAGCTGCCAGCTCAAGCATGCTTTGTTTTCAGTGTATTTAAAAAGTACTCAAGCCTATTCAATTTCAGATGAAGAGCTATTTGTAGAAGAAGAACCATACTGATTTGGAAGGAGGAAGATTCTGCTAATCTTTCCTGTTATTCAGGAGAATTATAGAAACTATAGAAATGCTCCAGGCTAGAAATGTAAGTTGGAAAGGTTGAGGAGGAAGAACAGGGAATCTAAAAGGATTAACTATATATTTACAATTTTCCATCAACAGCACAGACAGGTTTTTCAGAACTCTACAAATGTGAACAGAATTAATGAAGAGCAGAGGAGCATCTGCAAAGAAAAACAACAAACAATCCCACAATCCTTCTTCAAAGGATTGATGAACTATTCCTTGTTAATGGATAAGCTGCTGTCCAATCTGTCTCCTTCATTCTAGCCTAGATTAAAAGAAGTGGAACTTTCTGGGCCCCAAGACAAATCTATCAGATAAGGTACCCAATTGTGAAAGAATTTATGTCTAGATGTCCTTGAGTTAAGTGGAACAACTGAGGAAGGTCAGAAGAAAAGAAAGAATTTAATGTGGCAACTTCTTTTCTGGTGTCATCATTGTAACAGCAGGTTTAGTCCTTCAGAAAATTGTTGCTGCTGGACTATTAGACGTGGGAGATTTCTCTTTCCCTCCCATTCAAGATATGGCCATGTGCCTGTAGTATATACAATATATCCCTTCCTCTTAGTAGCAGTTTCCTCTTCTGAATCATTTTTTGACATGGAAGTGATTTAGTATGCTTGGTTGACAGCCTGATTGAGGATACAATTAAGGCTGGATTCTGCTGAATTTCAAGAATTCCTCCTACACTCTGGTGTCTTCGTTTTGCTTTATTTCTATGAAAGACTTCACACCTGCCTTCATTTGCCAGATATTATTCATGCTTGTTAGATACATGAGTTTAGTTCTCCTTTAAGAGAGGGTAATATCTGCATGAAAAAAGGGACTCTTAAAAGTGGTACTTTTGTGCTGTGTTTGATCTAAACCAGGAAGGAGAACCAGGATCTGTCAAAGAAGTTTCCTAACAGTGAGAACTATTAACCAGTGGAATGGCTTGCCCTCAGAAGTTGTGGGTGCTCTATCACTGGAGACTTTTAAGAAGAGATTGGACAGCCATTTGTTCTGGAATGGTATAGGACCATGATGGCAAACCTATGGCATGCATGCCACAGGTGGCATGAAGAGCCCTCTCTGTGGGCACACAAGCTGTTGCCCCAGCTCAGTTCCACTGTGCATGTGCCTCCTGCAGGCCAGCTGATTTTTGGATCTTTGTGCGCATATGCGGGGTGCATGTGGGAGATGTGTGTGCATGCATGGGGTGGTGGTGGAGTGAGGCTCCCTTACACTCCCTGTTTTGGGCTGAGTAGGCATCTCTGTAGCCTCCTGGGAACAAAAACTGGGGCGGGGCATGCCGCACCCCCTTCGTGGTACTTTCGGTACTCAATGACAAAAAGGTTAGCCATCACTGGTATAGGATCTCCTGTGTGAGCAAGGGGCTGGACTAGAAGACCTCCAATTCCCTTTCAAATCTGTTATTATGTTATTTTTAACTGCATGTTACTGGTTTGGTTAACTGTATGTCCAATTGCAGGTTTTTCATTATTTCTGCACATAAGACTGTTTTGTCTGGTTGAACAGGCAGCACTATTTTCCTATTCCAACAGCTACTGTACTTCAGGGTGTGTTTACCACACCACTTGCTGCCAATGCTGCTGTTCTCTTTCAGAGCAAGCTGAGGACAAAGCTCGGTTTTTAATATTTCTCTTCCTGCTTCACTCTGTGCCCCACCTCCATGTTTGTGGCTGTCAGCCAGGGTACAGGGGACTTTGGGACAATAGCAGCAGCACTTAGACTTATAGACTTTATAGCTCTCTCTACATGGTTTATGGTTTACAGAGTCAGCATGTTGATTCCAACAATCTGGGTCCTCATTTTACTGATTTTGGAAGGATGGAAGGCTGAGTCAACCTTGAGCCAGTCAGGATTGAACTCCTGCCAGTAGAATGCAGAGTTATCCTGCAATACTGCATTCTAACCACTGGCCATCACTGCTCTTTCTAGAAAAGCACTATATCTTTATCCAGGGATAAGGTGATTATCTGATACTTGGTTCAGATTACTAATGTCCCTGTGAAGGTTAATTGTGCAATTTGTGCTAAAAGAAATAGCTAAAATGCTGTCCTGTGTATCCACCCTTCTTTATTCTGATCTCACTATAAATCAGGGAGAACAATTAGGGTTTTCCCCCATTCTCCTCCTGATGATCAAATGGACCAAAAACGAAATTTGATGAAGCTGTCAATAGAAAATATAGGGCTTGGCAATTAGGACCAGGAAACTTCCCACCTCCCAGGACATTTCTGTTTGTACAAGTAATCCTTGATTAATAATGGCAATTGGGACCAGACTTTCCATCACATGCATAAGCTTGTAAAACGCAATGTGACATGACAATATCACTTAATGAAGGAAATTTGGGGATTTCTGACTGCTGCCCTAAGTGACTGCCATAATGTCATTAAGCATGATGTCACATGGTCATAATTTCTGACTTCCTGCTGGTTTCCCCATTGACCTTGCTTGCCAGAAACTGGGAAGGTCACAAATAGTAATCACATGATTGTGGGATGGTGCAACCATTGTAAATATGAATTGGTTGCTGAGTATCTTGACTATAATCAGAGAGATACTGCAACACTTGGAATGTGAATGATCATAAATGTCCTCATTCAGTGCTATCCTTTCTGTGAGAAGAGCAGGTAACACTGGCCTCCATAGGCCTCTTTCCTATCACTAATTCTGCCTTTTTTTTTTTAAGAAAAAAATTCTTCTGGAAAGAACATTGTTCTATAAATGTATGAGACTACTCTGAACTATATATAACATACATTTTTCTAGCCAGCTGTAATATATATTGCAAATATTCCAACTACTAAAGTTGCCAACTCATTTTGGGTTGTTGTTTTGTTCTTAATTTTCAGGGTACAGATTCAACAAAACCCAGTAAGCATCAATGATAACAAGCTGAATGCATGATCCCTCATCCTTTTTTTGACGTCAGTTCTCAGGCAGATGGGTATTAACTGTTGACATCTAAAAGTTACATTGTACAATATTTTTTTCATAACAGTTTTGATTTTCTTCCTGGTTCTTTTACCTAATTGTCTGGTTTTCCAGCTTAACAAATGTTTTTATTTTCCTTCTTTGTACAGGTGCTCTGAAAAATAAAATTCAAAACAGTGAGTATTGACTTAACCTAAATAGCTGTTTGCTGTTCACCTTGCAGCAAACATGCACTTTTTTTATTGTAACTGCTATGAAAATAACATGCTTTCTCTGTGATATGCTTGCCTCTGTTGCTATAATTAAAAGTTTTGGGAAGATCAATTGAACTAATCAGTTCAATTTTGTAGATAACTATTGGCATAGCCAAGCCTTTCTTATGAAGCCTATTAGCGTCATAGAATAGAAATACTTCTATTTTTTAAAATTGGAATTGGGGAAAAAAAACCATACAACATGATTGCCTTTTGACCCACTACTTTTAATTTCCTAAAGCTTTCCCTTAGCATACCATAAACATATTTTGCTAGGAAGCAAAGCCTGTTGGCCTGATTAGGAGCTTCTAGATGTCAGACTGATAAAACTTGAAGCAAGTCCAGCAGGTTTTCTCATTTTATTTTCTGCTTCTAATACTACTGTTGACTACTGCTACTGCAGGGTAGAAGTGAGAAACATTTTGTAACTGACACTGATTCGAAGGCACATAAAAGAAGTGACAGTTAAATTTTACATCTTTTTAATTTTTTGGGTCCCAAAAAAACTGCAAGGAATGAAGCCATTGATATCATCAAGGCAATTCATTAAACCTGTTTTGGGTAGATGGGTGTAAAGACTAAATAATCCATCATTTTTGCTCTTATACTCATCAACCTAACCTTTTAAAAATATGGAAGAGATATTTTAATCCGCTGTAGGACATTTTATTCCTTAACATATTTCAACCCCTGCCCTTCATATACCCCTAAAATGACTAAGAGTTTTGAGCCTTCCCTTTTATTTGCATATTGTTCCCATTACCTACTTTATGTACAGTATAATTGGGACTGGAATGTGGAAATACAGCCTTGCCCCTGCCTGTGTATTAGTGATGTGGAGCAGGTATTAGTGACATGGAATTTGTGATAGTGCAGAGCATAGTGGTGACACGTGACATCAACAGATGGGTACAGCCAGGGTTTTTTCTTTTCTTTTTTGCTGTCTTCCATGTTTAGAATTTTCAAACAGCAAAGTAGGTATGATATTTTAAATGGGACTCAAATGCTCCTATCTTGGTGGAAGGTTCAAAATTTAAAAAGTTGTCCCTTGCTGCTCAATTTCAATGCAGATATTTGAGAAATTTGGGGGCTACACCACATGCACACACATTTATGAATTCTGTGTTTAGCCCTATGAGCTTTCCACCCCTATTAATCTGGCACCTTACTTACAAATTGATTAACAGAGGACACTCACAGGAGTGTTAAAATACTTGGGTGGCAGCAATGACTGCATGATTGGAGTTCTGTTCTTTATTTTTCTACTGTATATGTCATACATGCAGCCCATGTAGAAAAAGACCCAGAGCTTTAGTAATGTGGCTGTAGTCACTATCTGGTCTTTTTTGACTTCTCATGATTAAAAAACAAATAATCAAACTGAAACATTTGGCAGATTTGTAATTGGTTATATAAGCTTTACAGACAAAGTCACAGCCTTCGGTTTAAGATTAAAAAAGAGGTTGTTTATCTGGGTGTGGGGTTTTTTTTGGTTCATTTTAATCTCAGATTTACTTAATCAGAGAATTACATGCCAGTTTCTTTTGCTTCCTCCATTTTTTCTAGGAGATGACAAAAAGGGTATTCAAACAGGTAAGTGGCAGTCAAACAGGCAACAAGGGGAGGGACTTCTTGAATCATACTTGTTTTTCCTATAACTGAATACTATCAAAGACAAGGAACATTCAGCAGCTCCACGAGGAAGACATTGTAGGAATGATTTCATTGGAAACAATTTAACATAAAACCTTACCTAAATTGGCATATCTGGGCCCTCACAGGTTTAAGATCTGTGGTTGCTTCCCTTCTTCACACTCCTGGTTTTTGGCAAGTATAAATTGCAGTTTCATGTTAGGAAAGACTTGTGCTCTTTTCTGCCAGACAAAAGAACAAATGTCTGCCGTATCTTCTTCATTAAAGGTCCACCTTTTGTTTCAAGAGTCGGTTGTGTTTTCTCCAGCCATGTAGTGTTAATCTTTAACACGTGGCAGCTTCTAAAGCTGAGAGAGAAGGAGGAGCAAATAATGTGATTACATCATAGGGAGATTAGGGCCAAAAAAAAAATGAACACTTTTTTGTTGTTAGGAATTGTCAACTGGTAACAACGAAACCTACACGTGCAGAGTTCAAACTAACACCTTTATTATGTTCAGCCTATAATACAGGAATCTCCTCAGTCTGGCAGCCTATTCTTGGGAATAAATAGATAAGGCTCCAAACAATGTAAGTTAATTCATTGCAATAACTCAAGCCAATTTTATAAATTCCAATTTCCTTCTTACTCTCTCTGATCACCTCCTCTACACACTTTCCTCCAAAATAGTCCTTTTATTTCTTAATACCAGGATACCTTAAAGTCCATATATTTTGCCTGGTTCACACTCCGCTTGCTGCTTCACTGTTCAAGCACAGTCTTAATTCCCAGACTGCCACAGTCTTAGTTCCTTGTTTTTGTGGTGGCCATTTTAGACCATCACTGCAACTTGCCTTTGGAAGGGAGGGGAGTTGCAACTCCCCTCAACCCTCCAAGCAATTCCCCCTTTCTTTACCCCTTTCCTCCAGGGTAGTTCCAGTCCCAATTGGGACCCTCCAACAAGTGAGCTCAGAGCAAAACCATGCACAATTGCGGATTCCACTCTGACTCTGATTATGAGCAACCAGAAGTTCCAGAATATAAATTTTTAACAAAACATCTCATTAAGAATGGAATAAATTTTAGATGGCTGATACCAGAGGGAATATTGGTGACCTGGATAGAAGAAAGACATAGATTGGACTCCATAGAAAAAGCAGACTAATTTTATGATTTATTTATTTTGAACCATAAGAGGTAATGAGAGTAAGAGAGGAAAAAGGGGGTAGACAATAAGAGGAAGCCGCAGGAAAGAGAGATTTACAAAAAAGGATGAAAGACAGTCAGAGGAAATAGCAAAAAGAGAAGGAGCAAAGGCAAAAGAACACACAGAGAGAAGAGTGACTTGAACACCATGGAAGAAAAAATTAAAATAACTGTCAGTTAATATAACTGGACTGAATTCTGCTATAAAAAGGAAAAGAATCTTTAGAAAAATTAACGTTGGATATAATTTGCCTGAAAGAGCAAAAAAACAATGCAATAAATTATTGGAATACCCCAAAATTGGAAAACTATACACCTCCCTATCACAACTTAAGAAGAGAGGAGTAGCTCTTTATATAAAAGAAACAACAAATGCTAAGCAAATATTTATGGGTGAAGAAGGGAGGATTTTGATGGTAGGGATAACAATGAATTACAAACAAATACTCCTGGTAGCAATTTAATGCACCAAATAGTAAATAGGACTTTTATAGTAAACTTCATAAGAAAATAATAGAATTGGAGTACAAAAAATATGTGTAGTAGGAGACTTTAATGAAATTGTAGATGTAGAACTAGATTATAAAACCAGGAAAGTAAATAAAAAAGCTAGGAAAACACTTCCAAAGGCTTTCTTTAAAAGGGCGGAAGAGCTAGGTATCCAAGATATGTGGTGAGAGATACATCCTAAGGAAAATCAATACTCATTTTATTCAAATAGGCATATGTGTTGGTCAAGAATAGATCTGATATGGATGTCAGCTGAATTAAAATCTAATGTACAAGAACTGAATATAGAAACAAGTAATTGGACAGACCATAAGTCAATAAAAGTCAAGTGGAAAGGACAAAAAGAAAATTAAGATGGATATTGAACCAATTTATATTAAAAGACAAGCAATTTATTCAATTAATGGAAAAAGGATTAGACTTTTCATCTAAAGAGAATAGAAAAGTAGAAACCTCATTACAAAATGTATGGGATATAGCTAAGGCATATATTAGAAGTTTAGTCATAACTTATATAGGAAAGAATAATAATATAAAGAAATAAAACCAAAAGACATTAGAAGAAGAATACAAGAGGCTAGAGATAGAACTACAAAAAGAACCATAAAAGAAAACAGAATCTAAATAGTCATGTGGAATTAATAAAACACAAGTTGAATATAATAGATAAAGAAGAATTAGCACAAATTATTGAACACTGACCTAAAATACCTGAAACAGTGAAAGCCATATTAGATGAACATATAACAATGATGGAATTAACAGAAGCAATTAAGAGACAAAAGAATGATAAAACACTGAGCCCAGATGGTCTACCAGCAGAACTTTACAAAGACTTACAAATCATTCTAAGTATGCCAATGTTGGAAGTGTTCAATGAAATATTGTTAGAAGTGAAAGTACCAAATTCATGGATGGAAGCATATATCTCCCTCACACCAAAAGAAGATTAAGACTTACAACAGATTTTAGATAGATAGATAGATAGATAGATAGATAGATAGATAGATAGATAGATCTATCTTTGGTTATTCAGGTTTTCTCCCACATAAAATTGGAAGGATCTAGGCAACATTTCGATGAAGTCTCATTCATCATCTTCAGGCTTGTGTCTTCAGCTTTGTGCTTCTCAGAGTAATGTGAGCTTGCAGCTGCTTCTTCCTTTTAACTGCTAGTGGGGGTGTGACTTGATTGGTTGGGGGCTTGGCTGTATTCTGGTTGGGGAGTTGGCTGTGTTCTGATTGGCTGGGAGTGTGTTCTGTTCAGGTGGGGAATGCACACTCTCACACCACCACCCAGCACAGGTCAATTCCATAGCTGAGACACTCATCTCCAGAACAAAATGCTTAGCCGACGAACAACACCTAAAAACTGAACTACACACTCTCACTAACGTACGCCAATGGATTCCAAAGAAAGAAGATTACCCACCTAATCCAAAAAGAAACTCCAACCAAAATCCAAGACAGAAAACATGAGCCCTCCTCCCATTTATAAAAGACACTACAGACAAAATCAGCAAGATCCTCCAAAAATACAACATTAAAACAGCATTCTGCACAAACAGAAAAATATCTACCATCCTAAGAAAACCTAAAGACAAAATCGAGTTAGAAAACCAAGGAGTATACGAAATCCCTTGCACCGCCTGCCCCACCACATACATTGGACAAACTAACAGAGGTATGAGTGCACGCATTGAAGAACACAAGAACTAAATCAAAAAAGAAGAACCGACCTCTTCCCTGGTCCAAAACTTTAAAGCCACAGGACATGAGATTGACTTTAAAAATACCAGAACTATCGCCAAAACCGAACACTTCAACAACGGAATAATCAGAGAAGCCATAGAGATAGAAAAACGCCCACACAGCATGAATAAACGAGATGATGCCTCCCGCCTACCAGCCATTTGGAAACCCGCCCTCATGAACAGACGAGTACCTAACATGAAGAATGACACCAGACCCACCCCCACGAGGGCCACAAAAGATGCTACCACCACACTTCCATGTAAAAAGCAGACTCACACCCACACAGAAGATGAGACATGACCACGGACCAGAAGCCACACCACAGCTGCATCACTACCTGCTTCAAACCCCTCCGACTCATACATGAAGCGAACTGACGCCCACCATGAAGATGCAGCATGACCATGAATGTGAAGCCAAACAGCAGGATCACAGCTCACCAGTCAAATCCCCCAGCAACTAAGAGTAACCTGAACACAACCAGCCCCCACCTGAACTGAACACACCCCCACCCACTCAGAACATAGCCAAGCCCCCACCCAATCAAGTCACACCCCCACTAGCAGTTAAAAGGAAGAAGCAGCTGCAAGCTCACATTACTCTGAGAAGCACAAAGCCAAAGACACAAGCCTGAAGATGATGAATGAGACTTCATCGAAACGTCGCCTAGATCCTTCAATTTTATGTGGGAGAAAACCCGAATACAGAAGCCTGATGATGGCAGATGAGATTCTGCTGAAACGTTGCTACAACTTTAAAAGCACAACTATGATGACGTGAGAAAATACCCGAGCAAAGCTGAATACCATACATATACACACACACACACACGCACACACACACCGATATTCTTATTGGCTGCAGATTATAAAATATATGCCTCAATAATTGCAGAAAGATTAAAAAGGTTTTAAAATCAATTTATACATCCAGATCAAAATGGATAAGAGACAAATCAAAGACAATATGAGAATAATTTTAAATACACTGGTGTATTACGAAGCAGGGAAGCAAATGGTATTGATCTTCTTAGAAGTACAGAAAGCATGTGACAGTATGAACTGCTAATTCATGTTAGCACAACTAAAAGGTATGGATTTTGGGGAGAGATTTATTAACATGATTAAGGCAATATATTATAAGCAAACAGTAAAGGTGATGGTAAATGGGGATATGATAGAGAAGGTTAACATTAAAAAAGGTACAAGACAAGGATGCCCCTTGTCTCCCAAGATATAGAGATAAAAGGTATGGAAATAAAAAAGGAAAAATATAAACTGTAGGCATTTGCAGATGATTTAGTTTCCATTCTGGAAGACCCACAAGAAACAGGGCCTAAAGTAATAAAAAAAAATTAGAGGAATATGGCAAAGTGGCAGGATCGAAAATAAACAAAGAGAAAACTGATATTAGTTTTAAATCTCACAGATATGCAGGAAAAAGAGTTAATGAAGCGAATGGATATTCAGATTGCTAAGAAAGTAAAATACTTATGGATCTATTTGACAACAAGAGGAAACAAGGAAGATAATTATTATAAACTAATGCAACGAATTAAAGTGGATTTGGAGAAATGGAAAAACCTGCAATTATCATTGATAGGAAGGATAGCCACAATAAAATTGAATATATTGCCGAGTATTATATCTATTTCAAAAAATTCCAATAAAATTGAATTTTTTTTTTTGAGGAATTCAATAAAGTAATATTAAAATATATTTGACAAAGGGAAAAAAGCAAGAATAAGCCTAAAAATGCTGCAGGATTCGAGAAATAGAGAAGGCTTTGGGCTATCAAATTGGGAATTGTATTATTAGGCTAAGGTGAGTGAAAGAATGGATTGTATTGAGGAACAAAAGACTGTTGACCTTGGAGGGACATGATTTGCAATTGGCTGGCATGCCTTCTTGTGGTATGGGAAAAATAAAATACATAGTTACTTTCAAAGACATTATATTAGGAATGCATTATTGTTAGTGTGGGAGAAAGTCAGAGAACTTGAGGATACCAGTTTGGCTTTCAGTAATGGAAGCACTGATTTACCCAAATGTGATCAACATGGAAAATATTATTAGATACAAAAATGTTTTGAATGAAAAGGGGGAACTCAAAACTAAGCAAGAATTGAGCAATCAAGGGATTGATATGACACAGTACTCAAGGTGCAGATACATTCTAGATATGAGAAAGATGTTAAACTATATGTGTTTTTTTATAAAGAACTAACAGAATTAGACAAGATAGTAACAGGGGTAGAAGAAAAATTGATAAAGAAAACATACAGCTACCTATTAGGCATTAAATTGGAAGATGAACAAGTGAAGACAATAATAATATGGGCAAAAAATTTTGATTAGACAATTGAGTTAAAGATAACCAAATTCGTTTTGCATACCAAACAATAAAGCAAGAAAGGACAACTTTTTGCAGCAGGGTGAGGTGCCACTTATTTACAATTTGAGGGGAGATGATGATGATGATTATGACCATAGGAAGTCCTCAACTTACAACCATAATTGAGTCCAGAATTATGGTTGTAAGTCATTGCAGTTATAAATCAAGGCATCATAATACTAGTTTTGATTTTTCAGCATTTGTTTGCATAATTTCAAAAAATTCATAATTTTAAATATTAATATTAATAATATTTAATATTAAAATTGAACAGTGTGTCATCCTGGTACAAATATCTTTATGAAATAATAATCAAAAATTGCAGCTTTATTCATTACATTGATATTAATTCTACAATATTAAAATAATATCAAACTTACTAACTATAATATTTGCTTATCTCTCTTAACATATCTTCTTTATTTCACTAATCTTTTGTTTCCCTGTTTCTAACTTCCATTTTTTTTAATTTAACGATTGATAAAATAAATCCCATATCATATAATATTCAGTTTGCTCTTTCTCATTAATTGCAAGCATTAATCTGTTCATTTCTGCACATTCTAATATTTTCCTGATCACTTCTGTGGGTATCTCTTCACTTTTCCAGTTTTGTGCATATACAATTCTGGTTACAGTTAATATATGAATAATTAATTACTATATTTTTCAGGTAAAATCCTCAATAGAAATATTTCTGGCTTTAAATCAATATTCTGCTTTATCTTTTTTTCCAGCCATATATGTATTTTTTGCATTTGAGCAAGTCCACCACATATGATAATATGACCTGGTATCTGGTTTCACTTCCATCATTTAGCTGACTTATCTTTAAACATATTTGCTAACCTCATTGGCACAAAATACCATCTATAAAACATCTTATGCAAATTTTCTTTGTATGCAGTTGACATTGTTAATTTATAATTCCTGTCCCACAATTTTTGCTATTTGGCCTTTATTCCTTATTCTGATAATTTACAATCCAGAAACCCTATAATTGTGAGGTCATCTTCCATTTTCTACAACTTTATGTTTTTTCTCCCTCTTACAAACATTTGTGTTTTGCTAGTGTGTGGACAGGTGGTGAAGCAGAACCGTATTGTGGGGGGAGCAGATGCCTCTCTGAATGCTTGGCCATGGCAAGCCAGCCTCCAGTACCAAGGAAAGCATGTCTGTGGAGCAACCCTCATCAACTCTGAATTGATACTGACAGCAGCCCATTGCTTCCCTAAGTGAGTAAGTGTGAGAAGGACCAGTTTTGGAATTGCACAGGCTCCAGGTCTAGCTGCCTAAACAGCCATTTACTGGAGGCACATAAAAACAGCATATGCATGTGTGTTAAAACTACGGTTTAAAAAAGCTGCTGGTACTCTTCATTAATTATGCCATCCTGCTCCAGCTTGAACTGGACCCAGAAGTGTTGGATCCAATTCCTGGGAGATCTGAAAATTGTGGGCCATATCTTAAAGAGAGCCTGATTAGCAAAATCTGAGGTGGAAAATCTGAGGTGCACAAAACAAGCAAACAACCGAGCTCAGAGCACCAAGGATTCCACCATTCAACCCTTAGCTACATATATTTGCTTTTATAGGTACAATGACTGGGAAACCCTGGATAACCAGGTGGGATGGGAAATGGGTGGAATGGCTGGATTTCTCAAATGGAAACTTTCCACTGTCAAATGTTGAAAGAGGTAGCTAAAAGGGATAATTGAAGACACTGGCTGCATAATTTTTCTGAAGGGTCTAATTCTTAATTGTGGTTCCCAACAGGAATGCAGTACTCTCTAATTACCAGGCCAACTTGGGAAACTACCAGCTCTTGAATCCAGACCCAAATGCTGTGTGGCGGAGACTGTCTCAAGTGGCTGTGCATGAGAACTACACCGGAGATGGATCCAGTGGAGACATAGCTCTAGCTCAGCTTGAGCAACCTGTCCATTTCACCCAAGGGATCCTTCCAGCCTGTCTCCCAGATGCCAAAACCCAGTTTCCAAAGGGCTCCCTTTGCTGGGTGACAGGGTGGGGATCACCTACATATGGAGGTGAGGAAAGTTGTGGGATGAAGACCTGAGGAAGAGAGAGTGATTCTTCTTTAGCATAGAGAGGTCTTAGACTCTGATGAGATGAACCAAGAAACGAAATGTGAACAAAATGGTTACATTGCATAGTATTTAAGAAACTAGTTAAGAGTCTTTCTAAAATTTAATGTTGTTTGTGTTTCTTTCAGGGGTGAGATTCTGTTGGTTGTGACCGGTTCTATAGAACCCCTTGTTAACTTTCTAATCTGTTTGGAGAACCGGTTGTTAGAAGAAATCTTTTGTTTTTTTCCACCCTTATTACGTTCTTGGCAGTATGCCTAGACTTACTGTTTCAGAAGGAGGTTTTTTTTTCTTTCTTGGTACTTTCTTAAAGGGGAAGGGTTATTATAAGCTTTTCACACTGCTGTTGGGAGGAAATACTCCCCTGGAAATACAATGATCAGCACTGAAGAAATAATTGAATAATGAAGCAGAGCTGTGGAAAGAAGCTTTGTAATGTCAAGGAACCAAGATGTCTGACATTCAGCAAGGCTTCTTGGCTTGCTAAAAAGATTGACATTCAACCATGAGTTTACATACCCTTTCTGAGTTTTGGTCTAAAACTGTTTTTTGGAGAAGTTTAATTCTGTCCTTGGTGACGTTTAATCCTGTGTTTATTGATGGGATAATTTTCCCTATCCAGCTTTGTTTGGAAGGAAAAAGGTTAATCTTTGTTCCTGAAAAGAAACTTGGTTGAGAATTCTGCTAGTTCCTTTGTCTATTTGTTTTGGTAATTGGTTTAACAAGCAAGAGCTACTGTTGTGATTTAATTATATGTATTGTGTTTGAATTTTTTCCTGCCTCATGGTTTCTTTTTCTGTCTGGGGAGGAGGGTCCTCCTTCACTGCTTTAGTATTATTGGGCACTGTCCTTTTGGAGCGTACTTCCAAGAGGCAGGATGCAAGCTTGGCACTGATTTTTTACTGCCTTTCTGGGGGGCATGTGATCTTTCCTTAAATCTGGATGATTTCCTTAGGATATCTTGTGAGGTGAGTGAGACCAGCTGGTATCTTTAAGTGATGCAAATGGATCTAAGGATTGCTTTTCCTGGGTGTGCTCTTTCTGGAAAGCTTAAATGACCTCTCTGCTAAAGAGTTTCACTTTTAATCTAATGATTGGTATTTAGGGCAGCTTTTTGCAAGCAAAGAAACTTTTTGTATTTTTGTACAGGTAATCTTTGACTTACAACAGTTCATTTAGTGACCATTCAAAGTTACAATGGCACTGAAAAAAGTGATTTATGAGCATTTTTCATGCTTACGACCATTGCAGCATCCCCACTGTCATCAGAGGCCAGGCAAGGAGAAGTTCCCCTTGACGTGAGTGACGTCGAGTTGGCCATGCCCACCCAGTCACATGACCACCAAGCCACACCCACCAACTAAGCTATGCCCACAGTACCAGTTGTTAAAATTTTTGAATCCTATCCCTTGTTTCCTTTGTACCAAGACCACTCAGCATTTCAAAGTACAGTACAGCAATATAGTTAACTAAATAGGATCATAAGCAGCATGTGGTTAATAGGAAGGTTTTTGGTTTAAAATAATTTAATAGGATTTCAATATTTAGAAAGTAGAAATAAACACAAAGCTTATGTAGATATGCTTTAAAAAACAATAATCAAATTACCACACAAACATGGTATCACTGGAATGTGGCAAATACATACGCAGATATTGGCATTCATCATATTTAATGTGAAGGCTTCCTTAAATTGAACTTGGTTTGTAGTCACTACTTAATGGGCTAATAGAAATGTTGATATTTTAGATAATTTAATTGCTAATCCACTTTTTAAACCACTATGCTGTTGCAAGAGGAATTCAGTTTTTCTAAAACTTCAGAATGGCAAAATAGTCAACAGCTCTTTTCATTTCACATTTTGAACTAAATACATTAATAGAATCTTAAATGCTTGAATTTATATTACCACTGAAATGTATTTGTGGTAATATAAGTTTACATTTTGTGGGTTGTTAAAGATACTATATTGTTAAGAGGGATATTAATTATTTGCAAGAAATTTGGAATAAAGAATTGGAATATCCCATTTTGTAATCAGTGGTTAAGTAACTTAATGACATTAAATGTTTCTTATGATTTTAAGATGAAATCAACATTTTTGTTTATGATTATTGGCTGCTTCCAACAATCTTGAAATAGACTTAATTGCCAAATTCATTACATAGGCTAGATGTCTCAAATGACAGAGAAAAAACTAAATTTACATTTTTTGTGGGAAGTTAAAGAGCACTGCACTGTTAAGAGAGATATTAGTTATTTGCAAGAAATGTGGAATTATTCTATGTTTGCTTAATAATCATGATTTTATTAATAGATTTGGAAAAAGTATTATGTACTATGATTCACATATTTGGAATTTATTGCTGTATGAAGAGCTATGGGTTAAAAAAGCCTGAGGTAACAGACAGTGTAACCCTAGATTTATATTCTTGGATTGGTGACATGTGCTTTTACAGCAGCGATATCCTGCTTATGAACTAGTTCTTTATTGATGTAATGGAAAAACTCACCAATATTTAAACATTAAAATATCACATTTAAAAATGGAACTTTTTAGATATGTTATGATATATTGCATAGTTTTGCTCTTAATTTTGTTTTCTCATTTCTGCTTGTTTTGATTTGGGATATCTTCTTTTTTAAATCTATATTAAACAATGAACTAAAATTAAAAAAAATAGATGTCCCTTTCATAGCAGCAATAGAAATTTCGTAGTCTAATTCAGTGTTTCTCAACCCTGGCAACTTTAAAGTGGTTGTCAGAATTCCCTAACCAGAATGCAACTACATTACACTAAACTGAGTGAAGGGGTTTTTTGTTTCGTTTTTGTGGCTCTGTGCCTGGACAGTGCCCTTGTTATGATGCTCAAAGACCAAGTGGTATCCTCATTCCATATGAAAAAGGTGAACTTATGGCAAGAATTTAAAACAATGGCTGCAGGAGGGCAAATGACAAGAGTAACATTGCATCAACATGACAGAATGTATCAGGATGCTATCTACATAAATAAAAAGGATAGAACTTTCATCATGATGAGGCTTTTGTCATTTTGATGAAGGTGGTGGATCCTGTAGATGCTTTTGCTTTGAAAGGTGAGTTTGGTGAGGTGGTAGCCAGGATCTGGTTTGGGGAGAGTATAAAGAAGTGTGGCCATTCTTTGAAATTAAGAGAACATCCTTTCTTGGCAGTATATCACTTATTGTAAACTGCTTAATTTTTCAAACTTATTTTTGATTAGTTGCTATTCTATAAGAGCTGTGGTGGCTCAATGGTTAGAATGCAGCACTGCAGGCTAATTCTGCTGATTGCTAGCAGTTTGATTCTTACCAGCTCAAAGTTGACTCAGCCTTCCATCCTTCCGAGGTCGGTAAAACTGTTGAGGGCAATATGCTGACTCTCTAGTTAGAGAGCACAGTAAAATACTGTGAAGTGATATATAAGTCTAAGTGCTACTGCTATCCTATGGGAAACATGCCTTTGACTAAGAAACCCTCTCAGCTATATTGCAGCCTATACCCACATAGAACCATTGCCACCAACCTTTCAGTGGAATGGATGTGTATTGCTTTTTTATTTATATATAAACCTCTTTGGGAAGCTGGTTATACCGAAAGCAGGGAACATTTTATTGTAATAATAACCATCAGAGCAATCAATTAAGTCCTTGACAAGAAAAGGGGACCCTGTGCATTCTAGTCCTGCCTTAGGCACAAAGCCAGCTGGGTGATCTTGTGCCAGTCATTTTCTCACAGCCCTAGGAAGGAGGCAATGGCAAATCATTTCGGGCAAATTTTGGCAAAAAAACTGCAGGGACTTGTCCAGGCTGTATCTGAGAATTGGATGTGACTGAGCAGAGGAAAATAATAGTAATAATATTAACAATAATGATGTATTTTTTTCTTCAAGCCAATCTGGGAGGTCTTAAAACATTGCAGCAGGTCCAGTTGCCATTGATTGACACCATGACCTGTGATGACCTCTTTCACATTGGTACAAATATCAGTCCCACCACCAGAGAGATCCAGGATGACATGTTCTGTGCTGGCTATGCAGAGGGAAAAAAGGATGCTTGTTTGGTAAGAGAAGATGTTGATGGACGTACCATGGAATGGCATTTTCAAAGAACACTCAAGGATGGAAATATCCTAAAAGTGAACTAAAGTGCTTAATCAAGTTGTCCTATTTGTCATGGTATAAAATCGTTTTTGAGTAAAGAGGGATGCAAAAGGTCTTGGCTTTCTCTTTCTTTTCTCAGCACTGTGGCATTCTTAACAGAGATTGCTGCTTCTTTCCTGCACTTCTTGAAATGGCTGTGTGGCTCTGTGATGTTATGTGACACACGGCTATTCCAGGAAGTATCAGAACTGGCATTTTAGCAAATGTATTTAAGAGTAGAACAAGAATGTTCTGGTTGCATTCTCCAATAGGAATTTTAGTTCAGCCTCTTTTAGGTCTTTCCCCTTGATTTCTTTCCCACATACTTTTTTTTAATTATTTTTATTAAACATATTTCATCATTTTATATCATCTTTACAGTCTTTGCAGCGCTCCAACATCAATAATACTCATATATACATATCAATTACATCTCTTTTTTTTCCGTTAACTATATACATTGTTATTAAGTTTAATATACCTCTTAAATTACCTTTATATTTATTCTTTATTTCTATTTTCTAACCATTCATACCATGTGTCCCAGAGCAAATAATATTCCATTTCCCCTCTTTCTTTTAATTCTAATGTTAGCCTGTCCATCTCCGTGCAATCTAACACCTTTTTAAAATCACCATTCCCCAGAAGGCATGCTGTCTTGTTTCCAGTTTTGCGCATACGCCATTGTGGCGGCAGTCATTATGTACAATATAATATATTGAATTTTCTTACTGTAGTTTCCTCTTATTATCCCTAGTAGAAATAGTTCGGATTTTAATTCAATTTGTTGACTTGTGATTTCCTCTAGATGTTTTCTTATTTTGTTCTAATTCAATATTATAACCAAAATTCTTTGCCCAGGCTATCATGATTTCTTTGACCATTTCTTCTTCCATTTTAAATCTCAGGAAATAGTTATATGCTTTTGTTATCATTTTCTCCTTTGATTGCTAATAGGGGTATTGTTGTGGTTTTTCGAGAGCTGAGGAGAGGGCAGTCTTCAAATCCTTGTATGCAATATTGAAAAGGTTCCTTAATGTTCTCTTTATGAGTTCCTCCTGGCAGAGAATCCTCCAGAAAGATGGTACATTGTATTGGTAAAATTGTAGTATTATAGTGGTTTCACACTGGTCCATGCTATGCATAAAAGGGGACAAATAATCTGTTATGGATAGAGGGATAACATACACTCTTATTGTTTACTTTTCTCAACCAGGGTGACTCCGGAGGTCCATTAGTCTGCCAAGCGGATGGTGCCTGGTTTGTTGCAGGCATTGTGAGCTGGGGTGATCTGTGTGGTCTCTCCAATCGGCCAGGAGTTTACACCCGTGTTAGTTTTTACCAAGACTGGATTCAGAGTCACTTCTCTGGGGTGCAATTTGGTCTTATGAATGTCACCTATTACCGAGTTGCTTCACCACAAGCTGCCTCAAGCCAAGTCCTCAAACATTTCAATTTTGTCCTCCAGTTTCTGATCTCCTGCTTTATCATCATTTTCTGAAATAGATCGGGAATAAGACATTCTAGTGCTTTTATTTACCAAGTTGAATTTTTATGGAAAAATAAATTTTAACCAAAGTCTCCTTGCAACACCAGCATCTTCCACTAAAAAAGACATTTATGGAATTTTATGGAAACACCACCAGCTTCTATCCTTGATGTGGCATTAGAAGTCCATTTCTCCCCAAAAGAATGGATTGTGGAATGTGAAGTTTATTTTTTTTATCTTCCATCATGTTCGACAATAGAATATTGTGGATTTTTAAGGCATTAGAGATGTGGAGAAATCTTTTACCGGTGGGATAGTCATATTTCTTCATTTTGTTCTGTTCATCTAACTCTCTGAAGGAGAACAAGAGTTCTTATGTTTCTTTCTCAAAGGTGCTATTCATGTCACTTCATATATATATATATATATACATACATACATACATACATACATACATACATACATATACATATACACACACACACACCATCTCACTTACCAAAGGGCTACTTTTTATCAAGAGGTTCTTTCCAAAGGTAACAGGAAAAGGAAATATGGAAGAGCCACCCTATTCAAGTCATATTGAACTTTCATCAACATTTCTGGATAGCATTTGGCTAGCACTGCTCTAACCCAACAGTTCCTGATCTGAATTTGAAATGGTGAGAAAAGTGGTGTATAAAACAGCTAAATGAAACCTTGTTCCTTTAGCAGACTAGAGCTCATCATCTCAGGAATCTCATTTTGCCATAGTGTCTACCTCTGACTTAGCCTTAGACTTGATCTACCCATACACTTGAATGAAATTGTAGAATCTTGAAGTTGTAGAATGGTAGGTAGATCATACCATTTGAAAATGCAGACAGGGAAGTAGTTATCTTCCAACATTTCCCCCCAAATAATACATTAAGAGGAAAAAAAAAGAAATACAGTGGAATCTTGGGTCATGACCATAATCCATTCCAGGACTATGGTCACAACCCAATTTGGTCATGGCTGGAAGCACGACTATCTCTGCATGTGCAGGCAACCTCCGTCCCCCCAAATAGCACTGATGGGGAAATCGCTGTGGCAGGAAAAATTGCCATGGTGATTTTCAGGTTTGCAAGGTCTCTACCCAAAGATCTGTTCATGACTAGAAGCAAAACAGAAACAAAAATTCTGGTTGCCACCTGATTTGGTTGGCTTTTTAATAAAAGTTTTTTATTTTTATTTTTACGCATCTCTTCACATGAGCAACGTGATTCCAGATTACAACATTTATACATAGTCATACTTATATTTTCAACTTTCTTATTTAAAAATACATCAAATTATTATCCACCCCACTAATCTTCAAATAAATTTCCATTTCATATTTCAGTTCATTAATCCAATATCAAAATCATTTCCTCACATATATTTTCAATTTTTTATCCCCTATTATTTCCATTTTCAGCTTACCACCTATTTTATTTTACATTATACATTATTATCTTCATTAATTAACTCAAGACCAATATATAGTAAACACAAAGAAAAAGCAAGCTTAAAGTAAAATTAATATATTAATTTATATACCACATGGTATATTCCTCAATCTACAATATATCTTATATTGATTCCAACACTATTCATATAACCATTTCATATTTTTTCTTTATTTCCATATAGCCAAATTTTATCTCCGTAATTTAAATAAAATTTCAGTCCCCTATTTTTAATTATAATATAATATTCTCATTATAAAATTCCAATATGATCCATATTTTTTATTTTCTCATATCCTTTGTTTAGTCAATTATATTTTCTATTTCATTTTATATATGGCTAGGTGTGTTCAGGTCTTTTCCCATGTAAGATTAAGAGTATCTTGGCGACATTTTGGTGAGCTCCCACTTGCCCTCCTCAGGCTGGTGCTTTCGGCTTTGTGCCAGTGCCAGTGCGAAGCCGAAAGCACCAGCCTGAGGATGACGAGTGGGACCTCGCCGAAACGTTGCCAAGATACTCTTAATCTTACATGGGAAAAGACCCGAACACACCTAGACCTACATACCTGTACCCTTGAAAATCTACGAAAACAAATTGTATGTATGAATCTCATCTGCCATCATCAGGCTTGTGTAAACAAACACAATACACAAGCCTGATGATGGCAGATGAGATTCTGCTGAAACGTTGCGACAGCTTTAAAAGCACAACTATAATGACGTGGGAAAATACCCGAACAAAACTGAATAACACACACACACACACACACACACACACACATTAATAATAATAAAACCCTCTTAACATCTCTTAGTTCATCTTTACTTTTCTTCTATATAGTTATATAATACTCTTAGGTTACTTCCCAATACATTTTTGAATTTCAAATTTCTCCATTTTAAATTTCTAATAAAAAATACCCCTTTTATATCATATCTAATCCTTATCTCTAAATCTCTCAGCCTTGTCCTTTTTCTTGGTTTTAGCTAGCTTTCCCTTTTCTATGTTTTCCCGATCTTTCCTTTTTATTTCCATCTGCCAGTCACCCATCTTCTTCCCCACCCTCTCCTGTTCTCTTTTTAGAAGTTTCTTCTTGTAGAATTTCTTCTTTTGTTTAATCCTGGAAGCGTTTTTTCTTTTATTTATTAACTCATCAATGTCATTGTTATGTCCGTGGAACTGGTGGGGGTTCCCAACCAGGTCCGCTGTTTGAGCGGGAGCACCAGCCGCTCCCATTGGTTGGCTCCGTTTGACAGTCGGCTATATAAGCCGGCTGTCGGGCAGAGCCAGCCTGTTGTCGCCCGCTAGTCTGCAAGTTAGCAAGCAGACGCGACAACCCTTTATTCCCCGCTCTGGTCTCATGCCTCTTCCTTACCATCGCTCTACAACACTGGCGACGAGGATGGGATGGTCGAAGGCTAGCCAGACGTGTCTATTCAAAGAGCTGTAAATCACTGAGGGTGAAGTCACGAGCGCTGTAGCCGCAGCCGCGCAATGCTCACAAAGAGCGCGAAATTCAAACCACCATTACTCGAGCCGCAGTCACTGAAACGAGCCCCGGCGCTGTAGCCGCGGCCGCCAACGCTCACCAAGAGTGCGAAATTCAAAAAGAGCTACGTAACCCAGAGAGACAGTCACAGCCTGCGCTCTTTTAAGAGCGTGATTTCAAAGACGATTGAAGAAGACGAACCCGACACTTCCCACGATGAATGCTAATCCACCATTCCCGCCATTCAAGCCAAACGAGGAAACGTGGGACTCCTACAAGAATCACTTCAGCCATTTCCTCGATGCCATCGGGTTAGCTGACGCTGCGGAACATAGGAAGAAGTCTTATTTCCTCAGCTATTGTGGGGCCGCCATTTTTGACACCGCTACAGCGTTAGTCGCACCACGTGCCATCAGAAGCGTCCCATGGGATGAATTACAAGAAATACTCTCCAATCACTACGCGCCAAAACCATCCCAGATCGCTAGAAGGTATGCATTCAGAATCAGGAAGCAGGCAGTGGGGGAGTCGATCAACGAATACATGGCTGCCCTGAGGACAGCTGCCTTACAGTGCGGTTTCAAAGAATATCTGGAAGACATGCTGCTGGACCAGATCGTCTGTGGGGTTAGAGACCTGAGACTCCAAAGACGTTCGCTGGCAAAAAAGGACTTGAATCTGGCCCTAGCCATGGAGGAAGCCCTGGCTGCTGAGCTCTCCGCCCAGTCAGCAGCTGAGATTCAGGGCACTCCATTAAAGCCCAGCAGCCCAACCGTCCATTCTGAAGAAGTGCTCAGTGAAGAAGACCCCACAGACTCGTCAGACATCAACCGCCTTAAGCATCAGAAGCCTTCACAGGTAGGAGCGGGACAGACAAACAACTTCAAACAACCGCCCTTGTGCCTAACCTGCGGAGGCTCCCACTCTAGGGCATCCTGCAGGTTCAGAAACGCCATCTGCCTGAACTGCCAAAAGAAGGGTCACCTCGCTAGAGTATGCCAAGCAGGGAGCTCCTTGCCTCAAAGACCTCCGCCACCTTCTATTCCCCAAAGGCAAGTGGAGGACTGCTATACCTGCTACCACGCTAACCATACTTCCCAAACCCCCGATAAAATTAAAATTTCTGTTTTCCTAGAAGGTAAACCCTGCAGGATGGAGGTAGACACGGGATCTGCGCTCTCAATCATCTCCTGGGACACTCTGAAGAAGATCCAGCCCAGACTGTCAAGGAAACAGCTCCAAAGATGCCACCTGACACTGCGGGACTACCAGGGCAAGAACATTCTGGTCCTCGGGAAAGGCAAATTCCTCGTTCAATTCCAAGCCTTTAAAGGCCATTTGCCTTTAGTGGTTGTTAATGGTGCCCTCCCCAGCCTGTTGGGACTTGATTGGTTTCCTTCCCTTGGCCTTAGTGTAACTGGGATCCATGCTGTCTCAACTTCTGACGTAGATACATTATTTTCTGAATTTTCTGACGTATTTAGCAGCGAGCCGGGTTGCTACTCGGGCACCCCCATCTCGTTTTCCGTAGATCCCCAGGCAATTCCTCTCCGCCTTAAGCCACGCAGGGTGCCTTTCGCCATCCGTCCTAAATTGGACGCAGAATTAGACAAACTACTTAAACAAGGGGTGTTAGAACCTACTGATTTCGCCAAATGGGAGACCCCCATAGTCACCCCACTCAAGAAGGATGGCAGTTTAAGAATCTGCGCAGACTATAAAACCACGCTCAACCGTTATTTACAGGTCAGCGCATACCCCGTCCCTGTTATTCAGCACCTGTTACACACATTCGAACCCGGCACCATTTTCGCCAAGTTAGATATGTCCCAGGCATACCAACAGTTCCCTGTTGATGATCAGACAGCTGAATTACAAACCATAGTCACACATAGAGGGGCATTCAAATGTAAGCGCCTCCAATTCGGGGTCAGTGTGGCCCCGGGTATTTTCCAATCACTCATGGAACGGATTCTCCAAGGTCTCCCGGGAGTTGGTCCCGTATTTCGATGAAATCTTAGTCTCAGCTACGAGCCAACCTCAACTCATTCAGAGGGTCAGGACAGTGCTAGAGAAGTTTAGGCAGCATGGCCTCAAACTTAAAAGGGAGAAGTGCGCCATCGCCACTAGGCAGGTGGACTTTCTGGGTTATAGGATAGACGCCTCCGGCATCCACCCAATTGAGTCCAAGGTGAAGGCCATCCACGAGGTACCCACACCAACCAACAAGACTGAACTACAAGCCTTTCTGGGGCTTCTAAACTTTTACGCCTCATTCCTCCCGCACAAAGCATCAGTCGCTGAACCCCTACATAGACTCTTAGATAAAGACTCACCCTGGCATTGGGGACCCAAGGAAGCCCACGCTTTCAAATCAGTCAAATCATTACTCACATCGGAAGCGGTTTTAGTCCAGTTCGATCAACGCCTTCCTCTGGTCCTGGCTGCTGACGCATCCCCTTTTGGGATTGGGGTGTCCTAAGCCACAGACTCCCCAACGGCTCCGAGGCACCAATTGCCTTCTTTTCTAGGACCTTCTCCTCGGCAGAAAGGAACTACAGCCAAATCGATAAAGAGGCCCTGGCTGCGGTTGCTGCAGTTAAGAAGTTCCACGAATTCTTGTTTGGCCACCATTTTGAACTTGTGACTGACCATAAACCTCTCCTAGGACTTTTATCTGGAGATAAGCAAACCCCGCAGGTACTTTCACCCAGAATGACCAGATGGACTTTGTTTCTGGCCGCCTACTCATTCAAGTTGGTGCATCGTCCTGGCAAGAACTTGAGTCATGCCGATGCCCTCAGTCGCTGCCCACTGCCAGTCCCAGTCGAGGACCCTGCACCAATTCACGCCATCTTTGAGGTCAACGAACTCAAACTTCCAGTGACAGCCGAAGACATCACGGCACACTCCAAAAAAGACAAAATAATCGCCCAGGTTCTGGACTGGGTGGGAAGGGGGTGGCCGGAAACTCAATGTACAGTTGACTTCGTTCCCTTTAAAACCTGCCAGCAGGAACTGTCGAGGCTACAGGGATGTCTATTGTGGGGCACAAGAGTAATCATCCCAGCCACCCTTCGAGTACCCATCCTGAAGGTGCTTCACGAGGGCCACCCGGGCATCGTAAGGATGAAGGCATTGGCCCACAGCTACGTTTGGTGGCCCGGCATGGATGCTCAAATCGCCAACTGGGTAAGCTCTTGCCAACCCTGCCAAGAAACCAGGGCTGCCCCGCCCGCCGCCACGCCCACCAGGTGGGAAAGTGCTAGTGCCCCTTGGTCTCGCCTGTACATCGACCTGGCTGGACCAGTGCATGGCAAGACTTTCTTGGTGGTCGTGGATTCCTACTCCAAGTGGATTGACGTGGCCTTGCTTCCCACGACCACCACCCAAGCAGTAGTCAAAGCCCTGACCCGTTTGTTTGTCACCCATGGACTTCCAGACACGCTGGTGTCTGACAACGGCCCGCAGTTCACGTCATGTGAGTTCAGTATGTACGTGGCTAATTTGGGCATCAGACATGTCCTTACAGCTCCCTTTCACCCCGCTAGCAACGGGATGGCAGAGAGAGCGGTAAGGTCAGCCAAGGAGGCACTCGCCAGGTTTGGCCAGGTAGACTGGCACTCTAAACTGTCTCGTTTCCTGCTTAGCCAACATACGACGCCTTGCACCACTACTAACAAATCTCCCGCCAAACTTTTAATGGGGAGACGACTTAGAACCACCCTGGACAGGCTACACCCCCACTACTGCCCAGACACCCCTTTAGGGTCTGATAGTCTGGTCCGAGACTTTGCCTTGCAAGACCTGGTGTACGCCAGGAACTATGCAGGGGATCCTTTGTGGGTACCAGGCCAAATCATGTCAGTCACAGGGCCAAGATCCTACAGGGTCCTCCTGGAAGATGGACATTTGTGGCGAAGGCACGTGGACCAACTCAGAAGGCGATGTGTGGCTGATACCAACCCAACCCGACCTGCCAGCACCAACGTCTCCCTGCCGGTGCTAGACGGAAGCTCCCTGTGGGACCCAGGCTTCCCCGACGAACAGGAAGGTCTACAGGAGAACCCGAGTTTCCGGCCAGGGTCACCGACTCAGCAGCCGAGTGTTCCAGTTTGCCAACCGGACCACGAGACTCGCCCGGGTCAGCCCGAGCAAGGGGACTCGCCAACCTCGCAGGACACCGCGCCAGAGCAAGCCCATGCCCCGACGACCGTCGAGGCACGTCCTGAGGTTCTGGACTTGTCGCCAGCCAACAGTTCACCCGAACTAAGACGCTCTGGTCGCCAGCGCAGGCAGCCGGCTTACCTGCAGGACTACGCATGTTCCCAGCTGGGGGAAAGGAGTGTTATGTCCGTGGAACTGGTGGGGGTTCCCAACCAGGTCCGCTGTTTGAGCGGGAGCACCAGCCGCTCCCATTGGTTGGCTCCGTTTGACAGTCGGCTATATAAGCCGGCTGTCGGGCAGAGCCAGCCTGTTGTCGCCCGCTAGTCTGCAAGTTAGCAAGCAGACGCGACAACCCTTTATTCCCCGCAATAAAGCCTTGTTAGTTGTACGCTCTGGTCTCATGCCTCTTCCTTACCATCGCTCTACAACAGTCATAGTTTTAGTTCCTTTAATGTCTTTTGGCAATATCTCTTGTTCTCCAT